CTCTCCTGAAGTACAATGCTGTCAGTAATAGGATAATGTCCAGATGACTACAAGGAAGATCAGTTAATACAACTATCATTCAAATTTACACACCAACCACCAGTGCCAAACATGAAGAAATTAAACATTTTTACCAACTTCTGCATTCTGAAATTGATCAAACATGCAATCAGGATATATTCATAATTACTGATGATTGGAATGTGAAAATTGGAAACGAAGAAGGATCAGTAGTTGGAAAATATGACCTTGGTGATAGAAACAATGCTGGAGATCACAGGATAGAATTTTGCAAGACCAATGACTTCTTCATTGAAAATATCTTTTTTCAACAATATAAATGTTGACTATATATGTGGACCTCACTGGACAAAAAGCACAGGAATCAAATCGGCTACATTTGTGGAAAGAGACTATGGAAAAGCTCAGTATCATCAGTCAGAACAATGCCAGGGGCTAACTGTGGAACAGATCATCAATTGCTCATATGCAAGTTTAAGTTGAAGCTGAAGAAAATTAAAACAAGTCCATGAGAACCAAAATACAACCTTGAGTATATGCCACTTAAATTTAGAGACCATTCTCAATAATAGATTTGATGCATTGAACACTTATGACCAAACGAGTTGTAGAGTGACATCAAGGACGTCATATATGAAGAAAGAAAAAGGTCATTAAGAAGAGAGGAAAGAAAGAAGAGACCAGAATGGATGTCAGAAGAGACTCTGAAACTTGCTCTTGAATGTAGAATAGCTAAAGCAAATGGAAGAAATGATGAAGTAAAAAAGCTGAACAGAAGATTTCAAAGGCGGCTCGAGAAGACAAAGTAAAGTATTATAATGACATGTGCAAAGACCTGGAGTTAGAAAACCGAAAGGGAAGAACACGCTCAGCATTTCTCAATCTGAAAAAATTGATGAAAAAATTCAAGCCTTGAGTTGCAATATTGAAGGATTCTATGGGCAAAATGTTGAATGATGCAGGAAGCATCAAAAGAAGATCACTGTACCGAAAAGAATTGGTTGACAGTCATTTCATGAGGTAGCATATGATCAAGAACCAATGGTACTGAAGGAGGAAGTCCAAGCTGCACTGAAGACACTGGTGAAAATCAAGGCTCCAGGAATTTGTGGAATACCAATTGAGATGTTTCAACAAACAGATGCAGTGCTGGAAATGCTCACTTGTCTATGCCAAGAAATTTGGAAGACAACTACGTGGATAACTGACTTGAAGAGATCCATATTTGTGCCCATTCCAAAGAAAGGTGATCCAACAGGATGCAGAAATTATCCAACATATCATTAATATCATACGAAAGTAAAACTTTACCGATCATTCAGAAACGGTTGCAGCAGTACATTGACAGGGAACTGTCAGAGATTCAGGCTGGATTCAGAAGAGGATGTGGAATGAGAGCTGTCATTGCTGATGTCAGGTGGATCTTGACTGAAAGCAGATAATACCAGAAGATGTTTACCTGTGTTTTATTGACTGTGCAGAGGCATTCAATTATGGATAACATTGCAAAGAATGGGAATTCCAGAACACTTAATTGTGCTTGTGAGGAAACTGTACCTGGACCAAGAGACAGTCGTTTGAACAGAACAAAGGGATACTGTGTGGTTTAAAATCAGGAAAGGCGTGTGTCAGTGTTGTATCCTTTCACCATGTTTTCTCAATCTGTATGCTGAGCAAATAATCCAAGAAGGTGGATTACGTGAAGAAGAATGTTGCACCAGTATTGGAGGAAGCCTTATTAACAACCTGCGATATGCAGATGACACAATCTTGCTTGCTGAAAGCTGAGAGGGCTTGAAGCACTTACTGGTGAAGATCAAAGACTACAGCCTTCATTATGGTTTACATCTCAACATAAAGAAAACAAAAATCCTCACAACTAGACTCCTAAGCAGCATCATGTTAAATGGAGAAACATTGACATTGTCAAGGAGTTCATTTCACTTGGATCCACAATCAATGCCCATGAAAGCAGCAGTCAGGAGATGAAACAATGTATTGCATTGGGCAAGTCTACTGCAAAAGACCTCTTTAAAGTGTTAAAAAGCAAAGATGTCACTTTAAGGACAAGCCATGTTATTTTCAATCACCTCATGAATGCGTGTGAAAGCTGTACAATGAATAAGGAAGACTGAAGAAGAATTGATCCCTTTGAATTATGGTGTTGGCCAAGAGTATTGAGAAGACCATGGAAGAAATCTGTTTTGAAAGAAGTACAGCCTACAGTCAGAACGCTCTTTAGAAACAAGGAGGGCAAAACTTGTCTCACATACTTTGGACATGTTATCAGGAGGGACCAGTCCCTGGAGAAGGACAGCATACTTGATAAAGTGGAAGGTCAGTGAAAAAGGGAAGACCCTCAGTGAGATGGATTGACACAGTGGCTGTAACAATGGGCTTAAACAATGATTGTGAGGATGGCGCACGATCAGGCAGTGTTTTGTTCTTTTGTACATAGAGTCACCATGAGTCAGAGCTATCTCGATGGCATCTAACAAAAGCAACAACAATGACGCTGAGCCTAACTCTTCTGATTTACCCTACATGAGTGTTTCAGACATTCATTTTTACCCTTTTTTTGGCCACAGTGCAGTACAGTACAGTACAATCACTTATCTCATTTTTTTGAATTTTTCCTCTTTCCCTCTAGAGTTCTTTTTCAGAAGTTGTAGTAGAAAAAGCATAAGCAATCAGAGAAATTTGCAACTAGAGATTTGCAGCCAGAGAGATTTTAGTTTAAATCCTCGTATCTTTCCGTCGTTTTTTATGGGCAAGTTATATAATCACTCTGAGCTTCATCCTTCTTGTATGTACAATGAAGATGGTCAGACCTATTTCAAAATATTGTTGTGAGGAATAAATGCATAATTTAATCCTAGCATATAATTTTAAAAAAAAAAGTTTCCGTCAAGTCGATTCCGGCTCATAGCGACCCTAGAGGACAGAATAGAACTGCCCCATAGGGTTTCCAAGGAGTGCCTGGTGGATTTGAACTGCCAGCCGTTTTTGGTTAGCAGCCAAACTCTTAACCACTACACCACTGGGGTTTCCTGGTATATAATATTCTGTAGAAAAATTATGAGTTTTCTCTTCCTCACCATTCTGTCCCCACTGGGATGAATTTATTTTCTATACTTTCATAATCACTTGATAGCTAAAGGGAATATTTCAGTACCTTTAGTTTGAATAAGAGTATGTTTTGATGGGGCTTATTATATGAATTCCTTTTGTAATAGACTGATAAGATAATAAAAACATTGCATACAAAATTAATTCTCAAGCCTGAGAGGTTAATCCTCTGGTAAAAGATACTTTAACTTCTTTGCTATTTTAATAAGTAGTTGATGTTGATACGTATTTGTCACATACTGGGAACTCAGTTTAAAGCCTTTAAGAAAACTACAAAATTTTAAGGGAGGTACTTGTCTAATTTAAAAAAAAATTTTTTTTCAGACTTTTCCGCTAATCATCTTTTACTCTATTGTCCTTCAATTGTCTCCAAAGATTTCTTTAGTGAGAATATAAATTTAAAAAGCAAATCCCTGTTACCATTAATAAATTCTGAATTTCTCCATATTTCCCCTTTTTGTTATATCAGTTGAAACATTGTTTTTTAATCCATTAATAAGCAATACAAATACATTAGTATGCATAATTTACCATCAGCTTTAAAAGCAGAAGTATATAGTCATTCTTTTAGAAAGATTTATCTAATGAAAATTTGTAACTATTAAATAAAGAAATCTAGTCTAATTTCTCAGGTTTAAAGTCTGTAGGAGACAATGACAAATTTTCAGTTTGAATATGACTATTTTTTTAATTGTTGTAGTTTAAATGAAGTTTACATTTCAAGTTAGTCTCCCATACAAAAATTTATATGACCCTAATTGCTCTCCCCATACTGTGACAGCACACTCCTCTTTTCCACCCCTGATTCCCCATGTCCATTCACCAGCTCCTAACCCTCTCTGCCTTCCCATCTCACATCCGGACAGAAGCTGCCCATTTAGTCTCTTGTATCTACTTGAACTAAGAGGCACACTCCTCACGAATATCACTTTATATCCCACAGTCCAGTCCAATCCCTGTCTGAAGAGTTGGCCTCGGAAATTGTTTTAGTTCTGGGCTGATAGAGAATCCAGGGGCTATGCTTTCTGGGGTTCCTCCATTCTCAGTCAGACCATTAAGTCTGGTCTTCTTACTAGAATTTGAGTTCTGAACCCCACCTTTCTCCTGCTCCATCCGGGACTTTCTGTTGTGTTCCCTGTCAGGGCGGTCATTGGTGGTAGCCGAGTACCATCTAGTTCTTCTGGTCTCAGGCTGATGAAGTCTCTGGTCTGTGTGGCCCTTTCTGTCTCTTGGGCTACTACTTTCCTTGTGTCTTTGGTGTTCTTCATTCTCCTTTACTCCAAGTGGTTGAGACCAATTGATACATCTTAGATGGCTGCTTGCAAGCTTTTAAGACCCCAGACACCACTCACCAAAGCAGGATGCAGAACGTTTTCTTAAAAAGCTTTGTTATGCCAATTGCCCTAGATGTCCCCTGAAAGCATGGTCCCCAGACCCCTACCCCTGCTACTCTGCAAATATGACTGCATTTTTTGATAACTTATTTGGACTTCTGAGAACAAATATTTCTTATTGTTCAAATGGTAGACTTTTCTTCCTAGAATGTTAAAGATGCTGGTGAGGGGAAGATAGGTGATACAGAACATAATCACATAAGTATGAAAGTAAATATTGCCTCATATTTATTTTAATTTTATATCTTAATAAACCTAAACCTATGACCCTTACTTGCAAAAAATTTAAAAAAGAGGGTATTGAGTAGAATACTTGGTTAAAATCGTTTATCAATTCAGATACAGATCAAATAAATATGAACTTAGAGAATTTCATCTTTGTTTTATTAATGTAAACTGAAAGAATTATTTTTTATATAATTCTTATTAACTCTTGTTATTTTGATTATTTTATAGGAAAGAAGCAACAGATTTTCATGTAGACCATCAATCAAGACCCTTTTTTAAGTAGGTACTTAATCTGGGGACTAATGGTATATAATGGAGGATATTTTGGAAAACTAGATCATATTTGTATAATTCAAAAATTTATTACTTGAGAACAGTCTGTCAGGAAAACCATAGTAACATCTTCCAACTGCACAAAATTCTTTTCTAAGAATTTTCTCTGTCCTTTTATTAAATAAGAATTTATATATCTTACCATGAAGTATCTTAAACTTTAATCAGAAGCAAAGAAGACGATTTGTTTAAAGTATTTGGAACACAGATTTCTTTTTAGATTTCAATGGAATAAGAAGACAGTGATCTGTTTTATGGTGGATATTTATTTTTTATGTTTTTAAATTCTTATTTTGACAGTCTTTTATGCATAAAGTAATGTTCATAGAACCCTATTTTCAGCTAAATAGTTTGTTATACATTTTGTTTCTTGAAATATAGCAAATAATATATGTTAGAAACTGAATCTATAGTCTAATTATTTGGAATGTAATTGAATTTAAGTACATATTGTGTGTGTTCATATTACTATTGACAAAGGCATATTTACACCTCTAATAAAGAAGTATGCTATATTAACCAAGCTCCTACAATAGACATGCCATTTAGTATGCCACACAGAAGAGTGGATTTTTTAAAAAGTTTTATCTAAGAAAATTATTAAGTTATAGATTATTTCAAATCAATCATTGTAATATATTCCCAAGACTTGTTAGAATCGGCATATATAATTTTCTAGGAAATTATACTGTTAGAGTCTTTGTGTATGTTCATAGCATTGAATGCCAACTCCTAGTTTAATGTCTTATATGTAATTAGTGTGCAGCAAAGTTTTTCAATGGATGAGTAACTAGTTTCTGGTTTTGGGAAAGACAGAAGACATAAGAAAAGATGTAGTAATTGGAAATAGTTTCATGAAACAGTGTCCATTATGATGAGGCTCACATTCCCTGCTTTATTATATGCCACACTCATATTATAGGCTTACTCCACTACGTGTTTTGAGAATTCCATATTAATAGGACACTAGATCATCACTTTCTTGAAGGAGGGATCTTGTTTTATAGCTTGGATTCTGATGTATGGTAGGTAATCAAAAAGTGCTTATTGAATGGATAAACACTGCTTTGTTCTCTTGACTTGGGTTCCCCAAATCTAATGATATTTCTTTGTTTTTTGTAGCTAAGGCCTAACAGAATATGTATGAGGAGGTCCTGTGGGCCTCTTCAGGTAGAGGGTATGAATACTTTGTGCATACTATTTTTTAGAGTTATTCTTCAAAATAAACTGGAATGATTTAAAAAGGAAGCACTGAAGAGAGTTAGCTCATATAACATGGTTGATGAGGGAAACAGTCAAGAGTTAATTGGCACAAAAGGGCCTGTCACCCCGTACTCTTTTCTCCAGGAGGGTCCTGTCCTCCCTCTTGGTTTGGGGGAGAGAGAAATATGGACTTGAAAAAGTACTTTGTGCCTGCTTAACACAGTTGGCGGGATGGTATCCCTTATTTCACACTTAAACTTGTCATTGCTGCCTTGAACACATATAGAACTCAAAAAATAAAACTTTTCATGCCTTTCACTGTGACTCAGTGCTATACTTTTAATGAAGAACCTATGTGTATGCTTTAATAATTTAAGGTAAGCATAGCTTGGAGTAGATTTTACACTAATAAAAGGATATTTCTTCAAGACCTGTGCTTTCTTTTTTTCTTTATCATTAGATCAACTCTATATATATTGAGTGAAAGTTCTTTGTCATTTTTTGAATTATGATAGCTCTTCATAAAAATACTTAGATAAATTCTTACTACAGATACATGACAAGACACCACGCTTATCACTTCTATATAATGAAACTGTATTTGACTGCAACAGTAAACCACACAAAAGTAAAAAGAAAGATCCTGTGTACCTTTCAGAGCAATGGGAAAAGCACGGATCAACAATATACATCTTAAGTCGATGAATAATATGTTACCTCCCAGTGATTTTTCTGCTAACAGTAATTGATGTTACTGGTGATTTGTAGTGACTCAGACCACTGCAAGACGTTCAGTTGATAAAAACTTTATCCTGCCCATGTAAAATTCACTATGCCCAGTAGTTCTGGGATCATAATATTCATGCCTTTGAGTTATGGTGTTGGTAGAGAACATTGGATATACCATGGACTGACAGAAGAACGAACAAATCTGTCTTGAAAGAAATACAGCCAGAATGCTCGTTAGAAGCAAGGATGGTAGTTTGGACATGTTATCAGGAGGGACCAGTCTCTGGAGAAGGACATCATGCTTGATAAAGTAGAAGGTCAGCGAATAGAGGAAGGCCTTGAAAGAGATGAACTGACACAGTGGCTGCAACAATGGGTTCAAACATAGCAACGGTTGTGAGAATGACGCGGGACTGGGCAGTGTTTCCTACTATTGTACACAGGGTTGCTAGGACTCGGAACCAACTTGATGGCACCTAACAACACAACAACATTGAAATAGTCAAATTGTATTATATCCTTATTGGCAAGAGAGATGCCCAGGTACAGAATAATGAAACAAATATGTCTTTTACCTGTTTTATAGTGAGCTGATCCAGTTTTTTACAAGTGGTCCTGTTATTGCCTTGGAGATTTTAAGAGATGATGCTATATGTGAATGGAAAAGATTACTTGGACCTGCAAACTCTGGAGTGGCACGTACAGATGCTCCTGGAAGCATTAGAGCCCTATTTGGAACAGATGGCATAAGAAATGCAGCTCATGGTCCTGACTCTTTCGCTTCTGCTGCCAGAGTAAGATGTTTTAAAAATATTTAAATTCTGTTTTGGTTTTGTTAAATGTTTTTTGTCAAAGTAAAGTATTTTTGTCACTGGTGACTTAGGTTGGATTTATACATGTGATCTAGTAGTAAAGAAAACCTTTGACATTTGTCTAGGATCAAACAGTGTTTCCATGATGTTTTTCCTTTGAGAACTGTTACCTTGGTCAGGGCAGGGATATATGGCTAAAATACATTTTCTTTAATTAAAACATTTATTGAAACATGTCTTGTTCCCAAAACTTAAATTGCTAAGGCTCGTAATTGTTTGAATTACTGAATTAATGTAAAAATACCGGTTTATGGATACCAGTAGCATTACCTGTTGCTGTGGAGGTGACTGCAACTCATGGCGACTCCAGGTGTGTCAGAGTAGAACTGTGCTCCGTAAGGTTTTTGATGGCTGATTTTCCAGAATTAGATCACCAGGCTTTTCTTCCTAGGTGCCTCTGGGTGGACTCAAACCTCCAACATTTCAGTTAGTAGCTGAGCACATTAACCGTTTGAACCACCCAGGGACTCTAATTTATGGATAGTAAATATTAAAAAATAAGGCATAATTTTATACAGTCTTTCTTTGACTCAGATTAAGCATTCTATTTTCAAGCTTAAGCATCCTTTCATTTTCCTATATAGCTAGTGATTATGAAAAAAAATTCCTTACACTTAGTCCTTATTTCAAGTCCATATAAATAAGGTATTACACTGGATTTATACTAATGTGGAATTAATGAGGTACAAGTTTATTCTTAGCATCATGAAAAGTTTCTCAGCTAAGTTAAGATAGTTTTTAGTCTGGTTATGTTTGCAATAAAATAATATTTGACAGTTTTATAATAATTAATATTTTCTTTGTCTTATATCTTCATCACCAAGTCCTTTCCGCTCAGCATTCAAAATAGACCCTAAACCTGACGACTATTTTCTGAGTCACTTTTATATTTTGACTGGACTCCTGCTGTAGCTTCGTAAGTGTTCTTTCCTCTACTCCTCTTACACTCAGTTCATGAAAATTTTACCCTGCCCAAATAAAATTCTCTATACCCAGAGTGATCTTTTTAAAGCAAATCAGATTAACCATTCACCTACTGAAAATGCTTCAGCGAATTTTTGTCTCTTGTGGAATAAAATCTAAAATCTTAGTTCTAGCCTCAAAAACTCTACCTGTTCTGGCACCGATCTACCTATCTAACTTTTTCTCCTACTAATCTCTCCCTTAGTTACTATGCCCTAGGCACACTGACCATCTTGCTTTTCCTTGAATAGCGTATTTATGCCTGACACAGTCAGTTAACAGCAAAGAGGGCAGTGTGGTTGTATGGGGGTGATGAGATCACAGAAGTAATCAGAGGAGAGATCATATGGTCTTATAGGCCATGGTAGTACTTTTGGCCTTTTCTCTGAGTAAAATAGGGAACCATTACACAGTTTTCAGCATAAACTGCAATGTTTGACTTGACATTTAAAAGAATCATTCTGGTTGTTGCATTGAGTATAGACTGTTGAGGGCAAGAATAGCAACAGGGAAGTTGTTGCAATAATCCAGAGAGATAAATGGCTTGGACCAATGTGGTAGCAATGGAGAAGGGTGTATCTATGTTTTCAAGTATATTTTGATAGTCAAAGTTCAAATGAACACAGTTTCCTGCCAGACTGAATGTAGAGTATGAGGAAAATAGAGATACCAAGATGACTGCAAAGTTCTTGGCCTGAACAGCTGAAAGGATAGAATTTACATAAACTGAAATGGAAAATGTTGTTGATGCAGTCAGTAGGGGGAGAAAATCAGTAGTTACATTTTGGACATTGTAAACTTAACATGTATGTTAGTTATTGAATTGGAGATGTTGAGCAAACAGTTGGGTATATAGTTTGGGGTTTGGGAGAGAGGTCTGGAATAAAGGTATAAACATGGGGATCAGCAGCACTAGGTGGTATTTTTTTTTTTATTGTACTTCAGATGAACGCTTGCAGAACAAATAGTTTCCCATGAAACAGTAGTACACATGTTGTTTTATGACGTTGGTTAACAACCCCACAACATATCAACCCTTTA